AAAGCCTGTTGGGACAGTGTAGCGTTGCCAAAGCGGTTGCCAACTTCACAAAGTGCACCCCCGTTTACCTGGGCAGCCCAAACACCCCGACATGGACAACATGAAGACGGCAAATACAATCCTCACTGACATCTGTTCCCAGCGCAGAAGTGAAGCTTTGGACCGATAGCCCTGGACGATTGTGACACCATGCAGGCCAGAGTCGTCGGTGACACAGTTTTGGTGAGTGAAAACATTTATTAGCGCCTGGAATCTTAGTACTGAACTAGCCATGGCCCGCGAAATCACCCTGGACAGACAGAAAACGTTAACATTGTAGTGCACTAGCAATCACACAGGCAGGGTTTGTGTTGTCAGCGCGGGAAAATTCTTCACATTCCAACATCTGATGCGCAGTTCTTCCCTTCGAAGAACCCCTCTTGCATACTTACCACCGATAGAGATCCAGACGCGTTGGTTCATGCGAAAGCCCGTAAAATTAATTGACAGTTATGGCAAAGAAACTTTCATGGGATAAAATTCTGGGATTTGGAACAGGTCGGGTTCCCTGCGTCTTCAGCTCAGTCTTGAAATGAAGCTCCAAAGAACGACTGTCTTCAACAGTTTGGTAAGACCTATACGCATCACCGGTGGCTGTTTTAGAGTATGGAAAAGATGCAGCTATCGGTAGATACGAACGGAAGAAAATATGTTAGGCAGTTCTCTCCGAAACGTTGCAGAAATGGATCAAATCAGAAAAGGTCCCCACTGACAGTTGTGGAGGCAACTGTAAGACAGAAAGTTCTCTTTTATGACTCGTAAAACATTCGATAGTGGGCAGTCGAAGAGTAAACAACTCACCGTTCCCGTTTCGATAAGGCGACGGGGCCATTCGGTCACCACCTACGGAAGCACGACCCATGTTGGTGTTCACGGCGGATGGTGTTGTCGAGGCGCCAGCATCCTTGGCCATGCGATTAGCATGTGCAAAGGCGTCCTCCACGGCAAGCAGCAGTCGCATACGTCGCTTGCGAACCCGCTTCTCTGTCTCCATCTCGTCGTAGAGGCGGGCGGAGGCGCTGGGACCCGTGTGTCCAGTTGTTGCTGCCTGCTGGGCGGCCCCACCACCGCCACCACCACCGGCGCCTGAGCCCTGTTTGTCACCACCACCGCCTCCACCGCCGCCGCGACTGTCCACGTCATAGAACTTGTATTTAGAACCGCTGCCACGCCCATCCCCACCACCTCCGCTATCTGGGCCACTGGCGCTCACAATTTCAGCAGCAGCAGTGGTACTGCGCTTGCCGCGTCGATTGTTGGACGAGCTTGCGGGTTGGGTGTAGACCTGTCCAGAGAAGGTGGGAAAATTGGATCTCGTCAGTCACGAGTAGAGTGGGTCGAGTAGTCAGTAATAATGGCAATAACAACCGACGTAGCAATGGACGTAATAGTAATGATGACTTTATTATTGGTAGTGTCAAGAGAAACGGTAGCAGTATTATTAGTTATGTTCATAGAAGTGGAAGCAGCAGTAGTAGTAGCAATAGCAGCAATAGTAACAGTATTAGTAATAATAGCATTAGTAGTAGTAGTAGTAGTAGTAGTAGTGGTGGTTGCGTTCGTGGTGGTGGTGGTGGTAGTAGTAGTAGTAGTAGTGGTGGTGGTGGTAGTAGTAGTAGTAGTAGTAGTAGTGGCAGGAGGAAGAAGAAGAAGATAAATGGTAGCAGTGGCAGCAGCAGTAGTAACAGCAATAGTAGTAGTATGCTCGGTGCCAGTGGTAATCGTAGTACTACCAGTAAGTTGTAGCGAGTGGTGCTCAGCGGCCGTAGGAGTTACGCGAACGGACGGACAATGCATCTAGTAGCACTAGCAGACGGCTTACGTAACCGTCTTGGGCAACGAATGATGTGGGTCTCAACCTGTCCAACCAGGTGACACTTTAATATGAGTCAGTACAACACACTGACAGAGATAGTAAAATGTGCTTCTACATAAATGGTTTACAATATAGGTAAGCAGGCAGCAAGATCTAAAGTTAATTCATACACTGCGACAAACTAGCTTTCCACTAAGAAGCCTTCCAGGGATCCGATTAGATGTCATTAGCAAAAAAGTACAACCTGACCAAAACGCACTTATTTCACTGGCATTTGATTCGTGCGCAAAGCCAAAGGCTTTGAATATACATAAATATGTATTCACTCAGGAATGAGCGCACAACAATCCATTGGCTTCCCGCAACAAACAAGCTTCCTATGGACGACAAGCGTCACAAACAGGCAACCACCTACCAGGCCGAAGTCGGGCAAGCTATGATAGCAGAGGGGAGACGACAGAGTCTGCGGGGTAGATTGATACGGCGCTGTTTCGGGCTTGTTTGCCTTCATTCAGCCAATCATAACCCTGACCACCAGCTGGGACAAGAAACACAAACATGCGCAGAGACACACCTGGCGCAGCTGGTCCACCACTGGGGTCTACCAGATGGGTCATAAGCACTTCATCGAACCGAAGTTCATCAGTGTCTCGCCACCTGTAAATATATATATATATATATATATATGTCTGTCAAGTGGGCGTTTGGCCTTCCCTGTTGAGGCTAGGATCTCACTCGATCCCATTCTGTGCGCCAGCCAGATAACTACTGGCGACAACGAACGCTGTCATAGGACACATACAACATATAATACATAGGCAGCTCGCTAAGAGTGCAACAAGCCAGACGCAGACAGCTGTTTCACGGTTGTTACCGATCATTAGTACGTCATAGGCCTTATGAAGTGAGGTATATAAGCATGTCAAGTGGGCGTTTGGCCCTCACTGTTGTGTTTAGGATCTCACTCGATCCCATACTGTCCGCCCGCCAGCTAGCTACTGGCGACAACGAACGCTGTGTCATAGGACACAGCTCACCGATCTTTCTTACGGAACTCACTCGTTCAGTTATGCCTTATGGACTCTCTCTCTCGAGCCCAACCAGCGGCCGCACAGCGGCGCATGATATAGGCAGAATGGCATTACCGACAAAGACAAGGGACACTGGAATGGCCATTTCCGACTTATTAGCCGTCGTCAGCCAGTCATACCCAACCCCGAAGTGTGGAACACCCAAGGCTCGAACTCGCGACCTGTTGGTTTAGAAGTCCACGCCTCTACCCACGACCTTGCTCACTGGGCCAAGGGCTCGTTGCCCTGTCGGTTTCCGATCGGGAATATACAATTGGTAGGGGGCGCTCACCGATCGTTCTTACGGAACTCACTCGTTCCGTTGTCCCTTAAGGACTCTCTCTCGAGCCCAACCAGCAGCCGCACAGCGGCGCATGATATATAGGCAGAATGGTATTACCGACAAAGACAAGGGAGACTGGAATGGCCATTTCTGGCTTATTAGACGTCGTCAGCCAGCCATACCCAAGCCCGAAGTGTGGAACACCCGAGCCTCGAACTCGCGACCTGTTGGTTGAGAAGTCCACGCCTCTACCCACGACTTTGCTCACTGGGCCAAGGGCTCGTTGCCCTGTCGGTTTCTGATCGGGAATATACAATTGGTAGGGGGCGCACACCGATCGTTCATACGGAACTCACTCGTTCCGTTGTGCCTTATGGACTCTCTCTCTCTCTCGAGCCCAACCAGCAGCCGTATGGGAGGCCTGACTGGACGAATGTCCGAAACACGCAGATCTTCGCGACAATGGAGATGTCGCGTCGGCTCCATAGGCCCTTTCTAAGAATTGTAATGACCCTGCCATCAGTAGCGATTCGGAAGACTGGTTCGTCTTTATTGTGTTCATTTGGCGGCGGCATCACCCCGGTATATTTGAAACTGTCTTACTTTTGAAGTTTACTACCATCGATCACGAGAGGTGTTCTCTCCTTCTCATCGACGCAGCTCGAAAACACCTTGGCCTTCCCAGCGTTTATGAATAAACCGACGGATTTCGCGACTTCATTCAACTGTGATACCAAAACTTGAGGCCACCAAGGCCAGATCAGTCAGCCGGCGTCCAAGTGCAAACTCAACACCGCGAAAACCGTGAAGAGCCTTTCCGAGAATCCAGCCAATGGGATCGTTGAGCAGAATTGGCGAATACAACCTTTTCGAACGCCAAACCGAATGTGGAAGGAGTAAGACGAATTGTTATAGAACGGAACACGCGCAGTGGGGAGGGATAGGAGACCTCGATCAAAGCGATGATTTTGGTCGGTGCACCATCCACTTCTTTGAACCACTACAGAGACTCACAATGTGCGTAATAGAACGCAACAGCAAGGCAACAAAGCCGACGGCCGTCGGTGGCGATCGGTAGCTATGGCGGAATTCCAGAACGCGTTTCAATGTGAATATCTAGTCCGCGCATCCACGCCCAGCTCGGAATCCGGTTTAGTTGTGCCTCGTCATACATTCAAGCACAGCCTAAAATCCCCTGAGACGGACAGCTGCGAAGACCTATGCACCAACATCAGTGGGACTTATGTCGCGGCAGTTCTCTCACTTTGTCTCATCTCTCTTCCTGGAGACAGCTGCAAGCCTGTCCGAGTTCCAGTCATCGGGAACGACCTATTATCCCAGCGTTTGCTCGATCACCTCATGGAGGCAGGACGCCAGAGTATTGACACAAGCATTGTAGATATCAGTGGGAGTACAGTCTTCTCCGAGCGCCTTGTTCTGTAGCCTCTATAATGCAGCGACAACTACCTCAGAAGGGCAGTCGAATGATACTGCATAGACTGGAGACCGTTGCAGAGAAGAATGATGGTGCGATAAGTTTCTCATGAAAGTTGGGGTTTTCGAAGTACTCACGCCGGCGAACGACCTTGGCCGACTTGTCAGCAATAAAACCGCCATTCACTTTGAGAACAGTCATTTAGTTTTGACAGCTGTCATCGAGTGTCATCAATGTTTGAGGTCTGTTCCATGGAGGTCGCTGTTTCAGCCGAATATTTCTGCCAATCATTCCTAGTCGACTTTGCTGCCATTTTCCGCTGCTGGAGGAAAGAAG